AGGATATCGAGGCTCAGCAGGGGAAGTGACTCCTTTACGGTCACTCAGCTAGCAAGAGGCAGAGCTGAGATTCAAACTCAGGTCTGCCTGATTCTGATGTCCCTTTTTAAAAAAAAGGCCTCCATTGGGACCCCCAAGCAAGCTCCGTTGGCTATAAAAAATAAAGGGGGCTTCTAAGTTAGGGAGGTCCTGGCTGGCACACATGATTTGCGCTTGACTACTAACCTGAAGATTGGCAGTTTGAACCCTCCCGTTGGCGCTGCAGAAGAAAGGTCTGGCAGTCTGCTTCCATAAAGATGGTTGTTGTGGTTGTTAGTTGCTGTTGAGTCAATTCCAACTCACGGCAACGCAGCCAAGAAAACCCTACGGAGCAGTTCTACTGTGTAACACATGGGGTTGGCATGAGTTGGACTCAATGGCAACGGGTCTAAGCTAGGGTGTGTACACTGATCGGGCCAAGTGCGAGAAGAGTTTGAGATTTTGGGGAAGCCTCTTTGAGTCATCCCAGAGTACAAAATATCCTGTAACCCCGAAGGGGGCCTCTGTCTCCCACAGGCCAGCGGCTGGTGGCAGCAGTGTGACGGACAGTAGTACTTTGACTGTGGCCAGGTGGTGGTGAGGGAGCTCCCGCCCCCTTCCGGCCTCTTTGTCCTGTTTAGTGTGGGACCTGGGGGGCCTCTCTCAGGCAGCCAGGCTGGTCTTGACTCTGAGGCGAAGGAGTGAGCATCTTGGGGCTCTTTATTAGTTTATTTCAGAAGATGGAGCCTGTTTGTCCCCGGGGCCCTTCCCCCTTTTATGGCCTCCAGCCCTTCTTGACAAATTCTAGTGACTGGAGAGAAAACCGCTTTCTACAGCGGATCATTAAAACACCACCATAAACCCAGGGCCATAAAATATTATTTGCTGGGCATAAAAGGGGCTAGATTTTCCCAGAATGACAACCTGGGCCTTTCTCCTGCTGGGAAAGGCGGTACAGGGATGCAATTGTTCATAAATTCCTTATCTTGCCCTCTGCTTTGTGAAATAACCTTGTTGGGAGAGCAGCCAGAGTATTGATTTATTTGTTCCATAGACTGGAGAGCATTTTTAACGAGCAGAGCATGGCAATGCCTTGCCAGCACGTCTTCAGATGGCTCAATCCCTGCACACGCGCCCAGATGCACACACAGTTTGCAAGGGGGAAACATGGAGTCTTGCAGACTGGAGAGCTCTTAACATAAACCTTTGCAGCTGGAGAGGCATTGGTTTCACTCATTCCAACTGTCTGCTTGTCTCCCAGTCACACCAGTTAACACTGGCAGTGGGATTGGCTCTGACAACTGAGCGTGGCTTTCCGGGGCAGCCCCCCTGATTGAAGGCTCAAAGTGGATTTCCAGTTGGCTCCCATCAACAGTTCCTCTGGAAATAATCCTTTTATCCATTCACTTCTTCATTCAGTCAATCGTTCAACAAATGTTACTGAGCACCTACTAAGTGCCAGACGCTGTTTCGAGCACTGGGGTTACAGCCAAGAACAACACAGATGAGACCATGCAGTCACGGAGCTCAACTGCATCCTAACAGGACATAATCTCAGTATACCCATTATTAATATAATCAGATAGAAATCCTGGATCTGAAGTCCTTAGAGCCAGATGGGTTTCAAGTGGGAAATCTGGAGATTTTCTTAAAAGATAAAATGGGGGGCATGTGACTATTTGCAACAGTCCCAATGAGGTTTGGGGCAGTACCCAGTAAGCAAACACGTTAATATTTCTTCCATGAAAAGTATGAACATTGACCTCAAGGGGGAAAAATCAAGACCCTAAATGCCTTTGTCATTTCTGGTCCAGTGTTGCAGCCAAAGGAGTGTGAAGAGCTGTTTTCAGAGCTGTTTTTTGCAGGTGAGCAGGTACTGAGTGCCGGATAAGTGCCCGGAGCCACGTTACCTGTGTCCCTGGTCACCCTGTTTCATTCTCACCTATTTCTCTATTTTTTAAAGAGAAGTCTGAGCACCGAGAGGCTAAATGACTGGTCCAAGTTTTCACAGCTAGAAAGTGGCAGAGCTGGGATTGGAACTCTTGCAGGGACCCTCCTCTGGAGGTAAGAACGGGAGTCTGCACCACCACCTTTCAGGAAATAGAACTGCTGGGGCTGTGTCTACACAAGCAAAGGCAATTGGAAAGAAGCAGGTAATTATCCAGATAATTCAGACTATAGCAATTAAAAAAAAAATTGTGGTTGAGTATCGATGTTTCTGGTCTGGCTGTATGGGTGGAGCAAATTCTCAGGTTACCAACCCCTCTCTGCAGAAACGTGCTCATCTAGGTGAGCTGCTTCTGGGCCCTGGCACTCCGGTGCAGAGTGACCTCAGCACCTGTGGGAACTCTATTCATGGCTAACTCACTTCCTGCCACTTCTCAGGGTGGCTGCATGCAAGTTGGATTCTCTGGAACCAGCCCAGGGGTATATGTGCTCCCTTGTGGCCAGCAGACTCTCAGGCGGTAGCCTCCGGGCAGGAGAGAGGGGAAGGCGAAACCCCTCTTTTTAGACCGCCAGGGGCAGATCTCAGGCTAGACTGGAAAACTGAAAAATGCCCATGGGCCCTACGTGGTCACGGCTGATCCAGGGTGAGGAAAAGGGAGACTCAGGACGTGAAGGAGGGATGCCCAAAGGGGAGCTTCTAGAACCTTGAGTTCCTCTTCTTTAGGGCTGCGTGCATCCCTGGCAAAGAAAGCCAGGCCAGACGGAGCAGGGGTATCCCTTGCAGCTCAGGAAAGTCCACACTGCTTTTTGGGTGTGCGCAGCAAAGGAGGCCTGGGCTGGGAAGGGGTCCACTCGGCCGGGGCAAGTAAGGATCTGGAAGGGGCTGTGTGGAGGGAGGGCGGGACAGCGCTGAGGGAACTTCTCCCCTAGCACTCTGAGGTGGTCAGCCGGGGGGCTGATAAGGGGGGACAAAACAAAACAGTCACCACTCCGAAGCCCCCAGGCCACAGATTTTGTGCCTTAAAGTCAAGTGCGTGCCAGATGGGCGGTGGGAAATTGAATCTCCTAGGCGTGAGGGGCTTCCATGTCAGACGGCTGGGGGGATGGGGAGAATCAAGAACAAGAATTACGCTCCAGAGTGAGGCAGTGTCTGGGGGTGGCGCACAACCTCCAAACCGGCCCCGCTGCGCTCCCAACAACAGCAACTCGTCTGGGCATCTGGGCTGATGCATCTGGAAGTTTCAGTGCCCCATCCCAGTTTTGCCAGACTTCTTCAAGCTTCTCACTGAGGGCACCCTCCGAGATCCCTGCGGCAGGACCACGCTTCGTATCTGGATGCTCTCGGTCGGAGCCAGTAGTGCAATTGCGCACCCCAGTATTCAAACCCCTACACCATCCCCCAAGTCCCGGGGCTCAGGGACCCTCCTCCAGCGGTAACAATGGAGAGGTCCCCGAGGGGTTGCAGGCCTAGGCAGCCGTCCCAGTGCTGAGCCAGTGGGAGCGGCTTGGGACAGGCAAGCCAAGGGGTCCGGCCTGGAAAGTTGGGGTTCCGCCTTCTGCTGGTCGGCAGCTTTGGAAGGGGCGCAGGCGGCGGTGCGGCGGGCAGGCAGTGGCTCCGGAGCGTACCTCTTTCTGTCGGCAGATACCTGGGGGATGGGGAGCCCGGAGAAGAGGGTCCAAGCGGCAGTGTACCCCGCCCCCCCGGCACCCCCAGCCGGTTGTACGGCTTTAAAATCCTGCCGAGTTTGTCATAGGCCGGCCTCAACACGCATGCGTACAGGCAAAGTTGAGTAGTAGTTTGGTTTTTTTTTTTTTTTCCTTTTTCCCCCCTTCCTTCTCTTTCCAGCCGCCTTTGGTTCGGCAACTTTAAAAAAAAAAAAAAGTTTTCTGAGAACTCCAGGGGCAAGAGGAGCCCGCAGAGAGGGAGGGAGAGCGCGCGGCAGCTCGCCAGAGGGGCCGGGGGGTGGGGGTGGGGGGGACGTGGTCCTCGCGGTCGGTCTGTCTGTCTGCGGGGCACGGGATCGCGTGGAAGGTTGCTGCAAACTCCAAGGCGCCGCTTCCGCCGCCCAGAGTCCGGTTCGGTGCGGCAGCTACC